AAAAAATCTATCAGTGTTGTCGTATATTTAATACTTAAATAAAAATTAATAACGTTCAATCTAATATACTAACAGGATAATAATTTTACCATTAGTAGAACTATTTGCATAAGTATCCATCTATGGTTACGCGTGATAGTTGATATCATGATCATCAATGTTATAGATAGGTCGTATGCAATCTCATCAGGCGAAGTTGAGGAAACTATTGACTCTTCGATGAAAGAATAGTCTCCTCGACTTCGCCTTCAGATTTATGAGTTATGACACCGAATGAAGCAAGAATATGTAAGAATAGAGCTAATACTCGTTTCTCTCTACCTATCCAATAACGCGGCAGATACCTGGCGCAACAATAGAATAATAAAACTGTCTCCACATCTTCACAAATTTCATATAATATTATTAGAATTGGAAACCAGGTGCTGAATTTTTCACAGAAAGCAGACTTCATCTGCATGTAATATGAGATCCCATATATTTTACGGTAATAGCCAATGGTACCATCCGAGACTCGATCTATTATTTGCTTCAACAAATATCTAGGTCAGCAGGAACTCAGCCGTGTTACCTATCTGATAAATGGTCTATTTCTGAAAATAGACCGCGATTTTCATGCGGTATAAATTTAATTGAGTAAAATGCACTTCCACTAGTGAATTTTATAACGTAATCTTTACTAACATGAATATAACTGATCACTGTCTGTAGAAAATAATTTTAATAATAATAATTATCATGGACAATCAACACAGCGCCATCTAGTCCCAAGCTAAGTAGTTTGTGATGTCGGTACTTGGGTACTAGCTAAGTTATATATATAAATACTTAGGTGCATTTTTTTTGTAAATACATATATAAACAATTGTATGGTCTGGATGTTTTCTATATACAAAACATCCAGACCATACAATTGTTTATACCGTGCGAGGAATCGAACCCGCGACCACCGAAAGTAAAGCCGCTAGATCATCGTGGCCGTCGATGCTTTTTGTCCTTTACAAATACGTGGCAATTCTTTTAGCTAGTTCTTGTTTTTAACGTCTAGCTAATTATGACATAAATATTTGTAGACAATTTGTAAATTCGTTACCATTTTTTATTATAAAATATTCAATCTTAAAGGCTGTAGAAGGAACAAAGGGTACTGAAGAATTTTATCACCATGCTAAAACTACAATTAGTTTTAGTTTAAAGACTTAGGATTACTTCGTAATACTGCTCTAATCACTACGACTGATTTAATCTTATTTAGATACTTAACCATTTCTTTGTTTATTTAATATTCTGACTAATGAATTAGTGCTAGTTGGCAGTTTGTATTTACATAATTCAACTTAAAAATGTAAAGTTACAAGAATATTTTAGATGAGCAACACGCAAGTTTCTTGCTCGTTCTTCTTGTGATAAGCTTACCGAATGAGCAGTAGATTAAAAAATATGTATAACTATACGAAAGTAATTAAAATTATATTTAAATTTAATTCAATTAATCAAATTTAATTTTATTCGAATAAAAAATATTCTACTCTATTTCTATTCTATTATTAATGAATATTAATTTAACATGAATCACATTGTAGGGTCTGCATTCAAATTACTTACAATTTGATTGGAAACCTGAGTCCATTTATCTCTGCGTGACCCTTTTCGGACCTTCTCATCTATCTTGTATTGACAGATATAGGAGTCACATTTTAATCAATAGACATTCAATTTAGGGAAAATAATGACTTTCTAAGTTGAAATTGAAATAACATTCAAAATCAGTCTATAACAGATAAGAAATTGTATAAATAAACAGATGGACCTTATTGTACTTCTTAATGATATTGTTATTTGTTATTGTTATTGAAAATGTATTTGACAATGATCCGAATTTAATAAAAAGTGTAGAAATAGTTTCAAAGTTTATTTGTGACCAATATCCGTGACGCAGGATTTATATACATATATAAAAGCTGTTTTCCTTTTCTTCATCTATTTTTATGCGTCTATTCGTCTTTGTAGTATAGTCTATCTTTAAACCTTTTATTAGAATCAGTTTAGGGGTTTAGAGAAACCAAGTGTGGTCTTCAACTTTTGTGGTATCTATCATAACGGGAGCTTCATGTCACATACACTTAGATTGTGGAGCTACCTGCCGAGGTTTTAACGAGAGACTATAGAATGGGTATATTAAGGTTGCTTAAGACTAAACTAAGACTGCCTTAGTGTTTCAGGCGTCCATAGGCTACAGTAGCCATTTTCCATCCGTTGGGCTGTATGCGTGTTTGATTTTTCTTTTATATTACGATGGTACATAAAAAGAACAACATTCAGATTTCGCATTAATGATGCTTAGTGATGATTAGTAAGGTATTTAATAAAATTCCCCAATAAAGTCAAAGAAAAAAGTTCCATCGTTCTCACTTCAAAAATGACGAATTTCCATAAAAAGTTTCATCCCCTATTTTATTATATCTTATCCATCCTTAAGGGTAAAAATCTTACAAACTTTAAATGTCATGTTTAATCAACAACCCAAAAAATACGTTCTAACTTTCTAGTTTTAAAAATGTCAATATTTCCATACAACCTCGCATCTACCCTTTCAAATTTTCATCTCCCCTTTCAACCCTCTTACAACCCTTTTCTCGCATTCAAAATTAACACGTAAAGTATATGCCGATAGAAAAACCTATTAGATCTAAATCTATGGGATCACTCATCAGATAAATCTCTCTAAAAGTATCTAAATTCCCTCCTTTATTCACGTCAGTATTGTAGTATCGTGTATCCGTTTGAGGCGGCAACCAGCCTATTCATAAAGTCACTCAAAAGCCGCGCTAAGGTTTCACTTGAATGGTCTGTACATCTTTGTGGAAAATGAGGCTGTGTTATCTAAAGCTGTATTCTTGTATTATTTATATGATCATAATCTTGTTTTAGGATATTTAATATTTTTTTATATTCAAGATATATATCTTAATACTGGTATGTATAGGTATCTGACTTTGTTCAAAAACATGAATCTTACTAATATTATAAAAGTCAACATTTATGATATATGGATGTTTGTTTCACTTTTAAGAAAAAACTAATGAATGGATTTTAATGAAACTGTACCATAATATAGCTTATATACCAGATTAACACATAGGTTATAAACTTTACGGGAGTGAAACCGCAGGCACACACAAATAAATGATAATAATCACATTAGACATTCATATGCTAGCATAATTATCATATAGCGGCTACCGGGTCCAAATGTGTTTCACTCCACCCAGGACTGAATAATAATAATAAAAAAAACAGTATGACACTAATCCTTAAGTTAGTTAAATTTATGACATAGTTATTATGTTAAGTTTTTAGAATACAGATAACTAGTAACATAGTATAACGTAGTATACTAGTGTTATCTGTTTATTAAAAGTCTGCAATACAGTTACTCGTGGGTTGTCGACTATGGAGTCGATGCGGGGGCTAAGGGATCCCAAGCTTCAGCACCCTAGGGAGCTGTGGATGACCTCTGTCATGTCCGAATCTGAAATACTGTGTGTATTTTAGATTGGGACATGACACGGGTCCCATTGAATTATGTATGTATGTTACACACAAAATTTCATTAAAATGTGTGCAGTCATTTAGAAGTTAGATTAGTTATCACATCCTCCAAACTGATACAGACTTTACAAATCAAGCTACTTGGGAGCTAAAATACAGAGTTATCCACACAGACAACTAGGTACAAATGTTCACCACTGTAGGCTGTAGATTATTACCTTTTTATAGAATTGCAATGGCATATGCTAGTGATCACTCTATTCTTAAAAATGAATCAGTATTTTTTTAAACATATACAAATTCATTTGAAAAGAATAAGAGCTGATTTTCTTATCAATTCTACTTCGCTCGAAACCATTTCGAACTGATGGTAAATTTGACATATCATAGGAGTTTGTAGACCTACTTGAATAAAGATATTTTTTTATAATATCGTTGATCACACAACACCATCTAGTGTCAAGGTATGCAGAGCTTGTGTTGTGAGTACTAGTCTACTAATATAAATACATACATATTCTACATAGAAAACAGCCAGACCGATACGAACAATTATACTCATCATCATCAGCTCACTGCAGTCGACTGCTGGACATAGGCCTCGCCCAAGGCACGCCACTGAGTACGATCTTCAGCCCTTCTTATTTAGTTACTACTCGCAACGCAATGTATGCGTCGCTCCACCTAGCTGCGAGGCGTCCTACACTACGTTTGCAAATTCACGGTCTCCACTCTACAACACGACTACTATACAATTTACTAAACCAATCATACTCATGAGTACAAAATTTTGGAATCGAATCGGAAGTGAAGCTGTATGTTAATCCACTAGACCATCGAGACTGACAATTTTATTTGATACTAAGTTTTAACCGTAGTTTAACAAACATACCTACTTTCACATCATTATAAATGTTAATTAGGAATGTTTGTTACGCTTTCACGCAAAAACTACTGAACTGATCATCATGAAATTTTGCACACATGTTCTTGGAGATATTAGAATAAACGTAGGATTCTTTCATTAAAAAAATGCATTCAATGCAAGCAAAGCCGCGGGTAAAAGCTACTTTATAATATAAGTAAGGGCCTAACGGGCCATTGTTCCTTAAACAAACACTTATACAAAATTGATGCTACAGACAGCCCCCTTTGTCGGGGCTGCTTTGAAGCTGAAGAAACGGCGGCTCACGTAATCCTTGAGTGCACGGCAGTGGCCCAACAACGAAAACAAATCCTCGGAATGGTGAGGTCGCTCCGTGAAGCCTGCGAAGACACCAGGAGTCTTCTGCGCTTTTGGGAGGAGCTTGGCTGGCTACGTTAGTAGTCTGGCTCTACACGCACAACGGCCCGAATGAGAGGCTAATTGCGGAGAATGGAGTCCAACATACATCATACATCATACAATATAAGTAAGGATTAAGATTGTTTAACTGTATTGTTTGCAGGATGTGTATTGGCATGTGACGCGGGCGTGAGTGAGCGGCATGCGAGGCGAGCGCTCTAGGCGGGCCGCGGCCTCGCTCGCCGCGCTCGCGACGCTCATAGCGCTTACACTTCCGCCGCTCTGCTTGGCGCAGTACGACACGGCGTCCAGTGAGTACATCACTATCATTCTAAAGCTGTATTAACAATTTTATGTTATACACACTCTTGATATTATATTGCATTAAATAAAAGTATATTGTATTAATATAAACAACAAACGGAAAAAAAAAACAAATAAAATGTACATATAATTAAACTTAATTTACCATAATTAAAAAATAAACATAAAATAAACATTTTTTACATCCAATAATGCACTGAAAGACTTTAATGTATCGAACATACAGCTGGTTTTCAGTGGCACCAAAAATCCTAAAATAGACATCGTTGCGGAATATACATGTTGTATATATACATTTTCATCAACCTATGAAACTACAACTAAAAACTTGGTGTTTATATAATAAACGACAAGATAAATATAGAAATAAATTAGAATATAAACAATACAAAATGTAAAGTAAATGGTGACATATTCACCACTTGCGGTAATCAATATATTACTATAAGAGTTTAAAGTCCATAAAATATATCTCGATAAATAACAAACTGTTGATAAATATTAAAATAAATATATATGTGCAATTATAAATATAAAAATCAAGATAATTCACTTAGAGGAGCTCCGATGCGGTAATTTATTCAGTCTATCTTAGAGTTGAGTGGGGTGCCATCCCAAAAAACCTCACTTAACAATTTGTCACCATTCGTAGACCAACTAATAGGGTGCCAAATCGAATCATAACTACACCTTCTTAGCAAACAGTTCAAATTATTTTCTATTTGTATATATCGTCTGCCTTTTTTTAAAATACAGTGTAATCTTGTTTATCCGATCCGTTAATCCTTTTAGTTGTAAAAAGTTACAGATAAACTACCTAACTGACACACTTTCGCATATTAATATAGATACTATTATTTTCTACCTTTATAGTCGTAAAATGTGACAAACAGACAGACAGAAGTCATATTTTTACATATTAGTATTGATTCTGTTATAGGAATTTAACTAGCGTTATAAAATACTAACTACAACAGTACTATTCGTAACTTATTTAGCCATACCGTAATTTAAAATTAATAAACGGATCTAAGCATTCTCGCTCAAATTTCCTTTAGAAATTGATTACAGAGGTAAACTGGATGAAATTGCTAATTTATTAAGCGTTGTTCCCGTGCGCGGGTTTGGCTTAACCTTGTGACCTGGTTAGTAACATTGATGTAATTGTATGCTCGTGCTAGAGAAGACATGGCAACCTAATGTGACTTTCCATACAAAGAAAAACATAATTAACCTTCATTACTTTATTTTTGGAATTTTAATACCTAATCAGCATGGTATATTTTATGCTGATCAATTATTATATAGTAGCTGTGATCGCAGTTTCACCTGCGTGAAATTTATATCCTATATGTTACTCTGATGTATAGGCTATATTAATGGAAAGTTTCATCAAAATCTGTCCAGTAGTTTTTCCGTGAAAGAGTAACAAACATCCATTCATACTCATAAACTTCCGCGTTTATAATATTAATTAGATTATTGTTATATAGACAAAGTGTATATATTACATCATATAATAATAATTCTTTAATTCTTTCAGAGGACAAATATGTGACAGTCATTTTTATTAAATTAATATGTATTATATGTACTATATACAGGCCTAATTGATATAATTATGCTTCCTACAATTTATTAAATTCTAAGTAGACCAGTATTTATTGTGTGATGTACGAAGTGCGGCGTATCGCCACAAATTTTAAGAACCGGCAGTCAGTCCTCTAGTACATTCATAGGCATATTATACCTTGACGTTTTGAAATCTCTATCCGCCCCTTATCTGGGCATTAAGTAAGCCAGGCCCAGCGGTCAGTATTTTATGATTCATCAGTAAATTATTTCGTAAATAAAATATTTTTATTATTATGTAATACTACTGTTTTTACCAAGAAGAAATTTTATACCAAGAATAAAGAAAAAAAAATTTCTCCTAACGCACAGCAATGAAATCTTATTATTATAAACGCGAAAGTTTGTGGGTATGAATGGATGTTTGTTATGTTTCTCGCAAAAACTATCGTACTGATTTTAATAAAACTTTGCAGTAATATAGGTATACATCAGAATACATAGGCTAAAATTTAAAAAGAAATTATATAAATTGGGCGAAATAGAATAAATGTTAAGTAAGTGTAATGTAGACGAAGTTGCGTGGGGCTTATATGATATATATGTATATATATATATATATATATATATAGTAATATAGGTCTGCAGGACCTGTTTATATGCATTAAGTGTTATGAATGTTAATGTGTGTAGCTTGATATAATAGGTTATATAGCATCCTGTAAGATAAACATATATATACATAAATAATTTTGGGCTAGAATAGTTATAGTTAAAATAGCTAGTTATATGTATAGGTCTCCAGGACCTGTTTATATGCATAAGGATTACGTGGGTAGCTCTTTCAACGATCTCCGCTGTTAGTACTTTGACTTTGGGAGCTGTGTTTTAATTAGCAGAGTAAGATTTTGCATTGAAACAGTGTACGGAGTGTTAAACCTCGGAAACACACATGAGTTGCTAAATTCATATGTATCATATGGTGTCCGTGGGGATGGATGTCCTACCGATCGATCCCCTGTCAAATTCAGACAGGGATCGAAATTATGACGGCCGGTGCCGGGTTCACGAGTTCGGATTACCGTATGCTCTGTTGGTCAAAAGATCAGCTGGATTAGAATGTTCGAAAAACAAAAATCTAAATATATATAACTCAAAGGTGACTGACGTAGTGATCTATCAACGCACAGCCCAAACCACTAGACGGATCGGGCTGAAATTTGGCATGCAGGTAGATGTTATGACGTAGGTATCCGCTAAGAAAGGATTTTGCTTAATTCTACCCTCAAAGGGATGAAATAGAGGATGAAAGCCGATCGGGCTGAGTCTTTTCATGCATAAAGCTACTATGACGTAGGCATCCCCTAAAAAAGGATTTTGATAAATTCCACCCCTGAGGGGACAAATTAACGCGAGCGAAGCCGCGGGCAAAAGCTATTTAAAAATAAAATAGGATGTTCATGAGAGCTGAGATCTTGTCGGTGGAGCTCCTGCGTTTACCACGATCTTCCATCAATCTTTGTAGTTGTTGATACGATCGAGGCTATAGTCTACTAAATATATATAATTTACTAGACAGGTAACCATATTGCAAACAAAATTTTATTATGAGAATCATGAGATTTTGTTTGAATCATCATTATTATTAGTCGCTGTCTCTCCCTATGTATGCTTAAATCTTTAAAACTACACAACGGATGAATGCGGATTTGAAGCGGTTTTTTAATAGATATGGTGATTCAAGAGGAAGGCTTTTATTTATAATACATGTACACCCGTGCGAAGACGGGGCGAGTAGTTAATCAATAAATTAATAATTATACAATAATAAATTAAACCAGAGAAGATCAAATCATCAAATTCAAGCATTGCTAATTAGAATATCACGTTTCTATACAAGACATTAAGAAATTTTACGCTCGGTTCTCTTATACAAACATTCTTACTCTTCAGGGTAAATCGTTTAGGGGAAATTGATATAGCCACTTGAGACATTTATAAATGTTGCCGTAAACATTAGGGGACAAGGAAACCCACTTTGTTACGTTATAACTATGCGACAAATAATAAAACCGTAATGGGATCTCGTTATGACAAATTACTATGAAAATGTATGTAAGATGTTCATTAGTCTGCATTAATTAGGATAAAAAGTGTTTCAACATTTATTTCTTTATACAATGCTAGAGGAATGCTATTGAAAAAAACCGATAGTGCAGATAACTTAACTAGTTTAAACCAAAGATTAATAATAACCCTGAACAATTCATACATCTACGTTTTTTCGTAAATACATACATAATTCACTTAGAAAACACCCAGACCAAGACAAACAATTATCTTCCAGATTGATTGTGCCATACAGGGAAACGACATGGCGACCATTGGATGTAAAGCGGTATGCTAAACCGCTAGACTATCGAGTTCATCAAAAAATAATCAGATAATACCCATAAATGCTTTTGTAACTATTTCCAAAGAATATTGGCGCCTCCGTACTCAGTCATTAAACTGTCATATCATTCTTCGAACGGCAACATAGCTTGTAAAGTAAGATTGTATTAGTAGAACAATTATTTCTCTAGTAGTATTCTGTGACGCTGCTTACATGAATTCAGGAAAAAGTATCCCACGTGTCAATCAATGATACGATCTTTCTATGAACCAAATTTCAGTCAAAGTTGTCTAGCAGTTTAGGCGTGAAAGAGTAATAAACATCATGTTCATGCATTTGTGCCAAATGAATTCTTTTTTTTATAATATATTAGATAGGCCAGCACAATAGATCTCAACAGATCGCAATGCTACAGATCTGAAACACCAAGTAGTAGCTACCCCTTCAATAAAAAAAAAACATGCGGTTATAAAATTCGTAGTATTAATTTTTTTTAACATTTAACTTCCAGATAAGAACTCGCGCGGACGCTATGGCGACACGTGCTCTACCGCGGTGGACTGTAACTTCACGGACTCGATATGCGATGAAGTGCAAAAGATCTGCATGTGCCATCCCGACGTGCCGGTCAGCAATCACGTCGACAAGTGTGGCAAACGTAAGTATAGTTTGTTTACTAGCAATGTGGCAGGTTACTCATTCAGTCTTTAAACTAGTATCCTGAGCTAGAGAGCTTAATTTCGGCAATCATTGCCTGTCGGCCGAAGATTTCTAAAACAGTGAACATAGTTGTAATATGCAGCCTAGTAAAAGTGAAATGCGGCTCCGATGGTGGTTTAAAGAGTAGGACAAATAATATTACATATTATATCTAGAACTAGATTATAAGAATTTAAATAAACCTTAACAATTAAGGCACGTAAAAGCCCACAGTGACATCTAGGTAGTCCCAAACTAACCAGACTTTAAACATCAATTCGAAACACTTGAATATAATTTTTGTAAGTAAATTCACAATATGGTTAATACATGGAAGAATAAGAGACCACAATCAGACATATCAGTGAGTACGATGTTTGTATTCTGCGAAGATTAAACCCATGATCTTCAGAATGTAAGACAGTATGCTAACACGAAGACTACTGTCGCTAACTTGAATAAATTACAAGTTACTATACATGAATAAGAAAATAAACTAGTAATGAAGATAATATTGTCCCCAGAGAATGATAAAATAAACAACGAGGTCTCGTAAAAAGGGCCGTGAAAATATCCTTGTGGTAAGGTTAGTTTGTTGAAGGCCGTTCTTGTTTGCTTAATCGTCCGGAATCCGGTAACTGTGTTGTTTGGACATACAAAATTCGTATTGTTTGATTTACGCTTTGGGAATGTTAATTTTATAGTACTCTAACTTCACGGAGTAATCCCAAATGGTGTAGTAGAAGGCAATGTTAACTGTCAACGTTATGGTGAACATAATATTTGATATACAATATTTAGCTTCAGTTATAAGGAGCAACAATTCTCTCTCTAAAATGTATCGATTGTTACATAAGATAGAATGAGATAGCAACGTCTAGCGTCTTAGTACCCCTCATGTAAGCAGTAGCAACAGATTTGTTGTAGATGCATTAATTTGATGTTGGAAATTTCATGCATCGTATTTATATACCTATTTGAAAATTAAAACTCTTTAACAAAATGTTTTTGAAACTAGCATAATATTGTGGAATACAAATAAACTTAAGTATTTGGAGTTTATGCAATACAAAATTTGCATCCCTCATGAAAAAAGTTAGTAACCTAATATTTATGAGACGTTAAATGATGTCGAACATATGCTAACAGTATATAATAAAAATATAAAAGAGAAAGGGAGGTATTGATACAGAAATACAATGTGTGTAAGCAAGTTATAGGGTAATTTGAAATATACTTACAGATATATAGATTAGCTAAATCTATAATAGATGTATTTCTCTCTATTAGATTAGGGTATGATGAGGCCAATATCCTTTTCGACAAATGCCTCTAAAAATATATAATTATAATTGAACTTAAACCACTTACACAGTCCCATTATACTGAACTACCAGTGATTGCCTGTTGCTATTATGCTACAGGCTATCATTGGTATGGTGTGGCTCTGGCTGGTATGGTATGCCTCTATGATAGCAACAGGCAATTTTCTTGCATGTTCTTCTTGTATTGAAACTACATCCTGAAGTTGATCCCATCGTTTCCAAAACAAAACATCAGAATCAGCTTGTTTTTGCCTTAAGTATATATAATTCAGATACTCATCTATTTGGTAGTCCATCAATACGCCTAGTTAAGATAAGACAAGGCCTGTCATATCAGCTACTATATTATATAGAAATAAACAATTTACGGCATTATTTCTATAAGCGATTTTTGCGTTCTGCATTTTTATAGTTTTAAAAGTAGTAACAATTAACTAAATTTATGGCAAAGACCGTGTTATACTATGAATCGATTTGTTATCGCGTGTTGCATGCCACACAACTACTATCACTTATTATGCAGCTGTTATTAAAATGAGTACTAAATGGTATGTAACCCGTTTAGTAATTTAGGTTCCATATTTTGAAGACCTGCATTCAACTCTGGGCTAAGAATTGCTTAGAATATTCTTCGATCTAGAGTCATTGTCCTGCAATTTGTTTCGGTCTGCAGCGTCGTTGGTGTGGTATTTACTACGTTTTATTTCGCAAAACTTCTACTCGCTAACGATTTTCATTCTAATTCTAGTTTAAGTTCTCACTTAAGTTTAATCTTAGCGATGGTATTAACCTCTTTATTAAAGTAGACATGGTTGTGCTTTTTACCAATTAAAATAAACACAATTTTTCCATTTATTAATCTTAGTGGTAAACCGAGATTTGAATAATTAATGGTGACCCATATATAAATAGCCGTTGCTAAATGAATTAACAGAGTACAGTAAAATACATGTGTTGTCTTATTTGGATCAATTGTATGAATTTGAAAAGATCAGTGAATGTCAGTTTAAAGTAACTGTTAGAAGTACACTAATCTTGTTTGATATAGATACAAAAAAGGCGCTAGAATTTACTGCAGACTAATCTATATCATATAGAAATATTATTACTACCTACGGAATGGAAATGAATTGAGGTTACATTAGAAGTAGAAATTAAAATTACTAAAGACCCTAGTAAATTATTATTGTAATTGATCTTGGAATTTTAAAGAAACTTCAATATTTTAAATATACCATACTCTTTCAAGTGTTTGTCATATTTCTCTTTTACTTCGTTGTGGCATTAATATTATGATCGTGGTCATAGAAATATGAGATCTAAATCTAAGATCATAAATATGAATTTAATTGTAACCTTTAACATTTCAGCTGCATCAATAAACGAAACATGCATGTTTAATGAGCAATGCGAAGATGTAAACTTTAAGACTCAATGCCGCAATGAACGATGCGTTTGCAAGTTTGACATGATACCCGAGGTTACCGTCGATGGCAGTGTTACTTGCACTGGTAAGTTTTTTTTTTTTAATATCAGGTTAGATATTACTGATTCCTTCTTTAATTATAATTACTCATTTAAATATTTCATTTCCATATAATTACTCAATGTTGATAATATTATTGAAATTATTGTCTTTAGTATTATTTATTATGTGATATCTCCTAAATGATTCTTCTCTCCTAATACTTTTTAGAGATCAAATTGTATAGTATATAAATACATTATTCAAGTCATAAAATGTTAATATTGTTCAAAATAAAAATTAAACACTGTACCAATTTGAAATGTGAAAAAATTTGAAGCATAATTTCGAAGGTAACAATTTTTATTACGTCATCCGAGTAATACATGAACCCAAAATTTAATTTTCAGCCGACAAGAGCCCGGAGACTCCTATAAGGACTTTGGACCCTGCAATGATCGGTGTCCTTGTTGGGATGGCGCTAATGTTCGTAATCATTTGCGTTGTTCTTCGGCTATTCAGCAGGTAAATTTACATTATTATCAAAAATGCGAAGGTGTGTTTGTTTCATATTGAGTGTTGAGTATTTGGTGTTTGAATGACTCAAAAAATTGTGATAGAATTTGGAATCCACGTAGTATTTACTAGCTCAGGTTCTGTATATATTTTTTTTATAATTGATTGGAATAAAATATGTACTAAATATTTGTTATATTTAGTACATATTTTATTCCAATCAATTAACTACTGTAAGTGTACTTTGCCACAATAATGACCAAACCATAGGCGTATTTTTTTGTGATGTTTACACTTATTTGAAAAATTAAAAATTGCTTAAGTTATTCTATTGTTTTTTAAATTATATATATATATGTTGTCATCGAGCGATAGTACGAAGAAAAATAGTTGTATTATATAATTTTCATTCATTTTACTTTCATATTATTATTAGGAGTCGGTATTTTTATTGGTGAAATAAAAATTGTATTTAATCAAATACATGTAATTTTCAGGGCAAGATGGAGAGAGAACCGCACAATTTTCAACACACCAAACCCAAGACTAATGAATGTGTCTTTATTGAGAGATTCTAAACTATTACACGCACAGGTAAATACTATATTATACTATTGATATATGTCGGTAAAAGACCCCCTTATACCTTTATACTCGGGTCACAACTCTCGTGAACTGCTCGAAGTTTCCCTCTCTGCCACACGATGGACCCGGCACACTGTGAATCCATGAAATGCAAAGAACTGTTCACTTTTCGTTTTCGTCACTGTTCATATTATCTAATATATATCCGTAATTGTTTTCAATATGATGAAATTATGGCTAAAATTCATACGAGTAAAATAATATATTAATAAATACAATTCTATAATAAACTTTAAAACACATAAAATTTGTATATATTAAAAAAGCACACTTGTATAAATACTACAACTAACATAGTTCACATTACGAACAATCCTTTTCCCCTTGCTTTTGTAATATTTCTGATGATTACATCACAAATTATTCTATATTTTGTTATATCAGATGATGCATATGATAAAGTCTTAAGTGATAAGACCGCCTCTTGGAAGGGCTAATGCTTTGTAAATTGTTTTGTCTCTTTGCTGGTGCAATAAAGAATCATCAAATAAATAGCCGGCAGTTACTAATTGTCATCACGAGATATTATTGTAATGATGTTACTGTAACGTTTAAATAATATAAAAACATAACATTTTCAGGATCGTCGTGGATCCCGCGTAAGCGTTCGGCCTCCGTCGAGACAGGCTAGCCAACAGGAGTTACGACCACATTCACCAAGTCCAGGTATAAAATAAACGTGATTTTAACACCACCCCATAAAGTACATTTATATTAAGTTTATTGATCATTATAATATAAAAAAAGGTTTGTGTAAGTTATTTTCAGACAAAGAATTCTAAAAAATGCCGTAACTTTTTTCTGTATGGTAGTTTAGAAATAAACTCAAACGTGCCACGCAACGCCATCTAGTAAACTATTCGACAAATGTAGATAACGCCACAGCTATCTAGTAGTTAACAGAACTAGTACTGGTATTTCTGTTTATACGAATATTGTAAACTTGTAAACTAGCTCCCTCGAGCAACTTTACTGCGTCACAATTTCCCTGTTCTGTAACATTTTTCATTGCAGCTCTATATATATCTATATATAGAGCTGCAATGAATATATCTATATATACTATTGTTCGTAGCATAATATAGTCTACGCACATAACGTTGCTTTCTATTGGTAAAAGAATTTTCAAAATCCGTTCAGTAAATCCAGAGACTACCCTCTACAACCTTAGAATTTTTACCCCTTTATAATTAGCATAGATAATATTAGTTCGTAGTAAACAGCCAAATTAATATAATACAAACAATGCTGGTCATGTATACTTTTGCACTAGGTCCTACTACACCTGATGGTAAGTGGCGAGAAGACTTGAGATGGAGCGTGCTTATCTAGTTACTACTTGTCGTCAACTACATGTTCCTATTCCTCCAAAACATTATCAGAGAATTCTATTCCTTATTAATTTACATTAGGAAGTAAGTGCTGTATAAGAATCTATGGTACTTCATCGACATTTAAATGGATTCCTGTTCGACATGTACCGTGTATATCAGAGTTTATTTATATTATCAATGTCATTGCTAGTTCTTTTTTTAAATATTATTTCACAATTGTCATTAGTAAATGTTAAAATATTTATTATGTCTACACGATTTATAGTTACGTGTATTTGTTTTATATCATCTTTTTGTTTATTATTTATAAATACCCTGATTTTGATGTTATTCATAAATATTCCATCTATTAACAGCACGCCATCACCAAAGCCATCAGTTACACCGAAAACCCTCAGGTTACGTTTTTTTTTTAATTTTGCTTAATCTGCTGCATTTATTATTTACATTCATTCATAGTCTAGCTGGTGGTATATGTTTTAGATGTACAAAAACTTTGATTCTTAAATTCTATTCATTTGAAGTAAAGATATGTTTACATTAAATATTTTAAAATGGCTCAAATCTGATTATATCTACTATTGTAGATTGTGCCCTCTGACATTTGTTCAATTATTTGTTACTCATAATACGTTGCGTCCTATAATTATTAGATACTGCCATGGTCTACTGTATAATCATGTTTATATAGATCATGTATGTGTTTAAAAGAAACTATCTATAATCTTCAAGTATATTGTAATGTTTTAGTTACTGACCTACATTTACTATTAGCTATTATTATTAATAAATCTATAATTTCAATAATTACATGTTCTTAGTAGTTATATTTATAAGCATATTATGTTTGTTAATTTGCGGATTTTTATTTTTTAAGGTGAAATGTAAGTAACATCGAATTCTGGAACTATGTGAAAAAAGAAATATAGATGTTCCTGTTGAGTTTCTTGAATTCTTCTTAACTAAAGCAGCTAGCCGAACTGGACGGTAGAGTTAGTAATAAATAATATGAGGAGAGCTTGTATAAAAGGTCAAAAATACCTAATAAATAATGTTTACTTTTTGTATTTGAAAATTATAATAAAATAACAGAAGTCAGTAGGCACACATATAATAGTAGAAGATTTGGTAGCCTGATTTAGAAAAGAAGATAAATGTTGCATCTAAAACATTTATCGTGTCAGGTACTATATATATTCAAAGCACGTCGCTTCCACACCTATGTGTGGAACTTTATTTTATTTCACTTCATAAGTCATTAGAATTCATATATCTACAATAGCAAATTGATTTTAAATTGCAGTTCATAAGAAGAATGTTAGAATATTACTACCTAGATTATTCATTTCAGATTTCACATTACTGTTAAATTTCATTGGATCTTGATAATTAAACAAATTCTTACCAAAACTACTATTATAATCCTTTCTAAACCTAGCTTTCCATGAAGCTTAAAAATGCTATAAAATTGCTACAAGCATGAGAAAATGATTGAAAATAATTATTTTAGTCTTCTTCCTGGTTAAATTTTAATAACGATCAGCGAATCTGGTAATAAGAGTTCAAAAGTTTTTAAATTGCATCAACTTCTTTCAGAAAACTTACATATTATTTTTCTCCTTTGTCGCCGTATGCATGAGAAAGAAATGAAATAAGTTATTTAATTTCTTCCTGATACCATTAGTCCTGGTAATGTACTATAAAAATGACCTGTGTTTTCTAGGAAACTTTGCTTTGCACATGGAATGGAATAATTATTGCCTATTAGTTAGAATTAGACGCGTCTTTTCTAAACAAGGCTTTTAAAAGAATGAAGGAAGGAAGTAAAAAAAGAAGGAAATGAAGAATGAAGAAATAAGGCTTTCAACGATCATACATTAAACCTTAAATTCAATATTATATGAAAGGAACATCTAGAAAATTAGCATGTTTCATTCGATATCATGCTACGAGCTTTGCTCAAAGCATGTTTTAGATACACAAAATAAATTAATAATAATGTTCTATGATTTAAACCTTTTTATTTCCAGGTTCTCGTCGTGGTTCAAGAGCCAGCAGTGGACATTCTGCTACGTCACTGCGATCAGCAACTCTTCGTTCACCAACTACAACTGGACCGACTTCGGTGACTGTAGAAATAAGAGCCCCAGATGCGTAAAATTATACAAACGACACTTCTAAATATGTCGTAGGAATCGAATAGTTCAAAATGATGATAATTATGAAAGTATATTAGGTATAAAGCTAAATGATGCTTCTAACGTGTAATCAGGGAACGCAAAGTCTGTATTCGAAGCTAAACAAAAGTAATTTGTAAAAGCATTCAGTCCAGTTTACCGTATTTGTGATAATGTTTACAAATCGTTCAACATTAAATTAGGCTTACATTCATCCATTAATTATTATTGTAGCAATAAATTCATGCACTAATTTATCTGTCGTGAAATCAGCCACTTCAAAAGTGCCTCTACTCTTAAATCAATTAATGATTTTGTCTCTAATAAATTATAAACTTAATCTAAATAAGTTAATAATAAATCACAATGTTAGATTTAAAGCAGTTAAATACATAAAATAGTATATCACGATCACCGTTCAAACATTAAGTCACTTTTTATTATTAGAGGTAATGCACAGTTCTAATATATTCATAATTTAATTAAAGTATAGTCAAGTAATAGGGAAAAATTTAGCTTTTCTAGCATTAGGAGAGAGCGCTTTTTGGCAAATTTTGTAGTTCGATAGTTTTTAGTAAATTGATTAATGAATTAAGATCACAATTTCAGATTAACTCTTCTTTTCTAGATTTCCTTGTAAGTAAAAGCTAGATTTTGTGATTCCCTGCCTTAGAACTATAAAGTAGCTAATATCTAAGCTAACATTTATTTACGGGGACCATCTCCTGGTGAGGAGTGATCTGATGACTAAATTGGATAGTAATTAGGATGGAGGGTAGCTTCTATGTCGCTTTCTATACCTAATTATAACGAGGTAATTAGTAATAAGAGTTTCAATTAAACTTAGTTTTAAGGTGCGAACGAAATGCTTTTCTTTAACGTTTCTATGAGAGACAGTTGTGAGTCGAGTTAAGGTTTCAAATTAAGTTCTCGTTTAGTCTTCTTAGGTACTTCTTATATAGTGATAAATTGTGTAAAATGGGGAAATTTACACAAGTAATATTAAGATATTGCACTTCTGAAGCTTCGACCAAATTTTATGCAATACGCACAAGCGTTTAGTACAGAGTTAGAGAATTTATGATAATTAAATGCCACTATGCATATTAATGCGAATAAACTGTAATCATCTTCATTTCAAGTGTGAGGCATACTTGATTTATGGGGAAGACTTGAAGTATGACTCACACGAAAACTATCACTGTCATTTTTGAATAAAGCAAATTAATATTTATACTGGTATAAGCTATTGTATCTTAACATAAAGTAACAAATAATGCTCACATTATAACAATGTATTTCGGACACTGTGCTAGTTATATACCTACTGAAAATTTATGCTGTAATTTAATTATACTATGAACTTTTATTATAACTTATACTTCCTGATATTCTCGTTTTATTTCTATAATATAAATTTAAGTAATTACATTTTTTATTTTCATGTATTTGCTATATTTTTATGCAATTGGAATGGCAAACAACAAGAGCCGGTAAGAGGTAAACGTCACCTTTTTTTTCGGACTACTCTAATACTGTCGGTCGCAGCTGTCCTTTACAGCTTCACAGGACGATAAGGGGCGAGTGCAGATGGCACTCCAAACCTGCGGAAGGACTTATGGAGCGGCTGCAGGCCAACTCCCGCCTGACGGCTTTAGTCTGAGGGCACCGCTAGGGGTTCGAACCTCGGTGTAGGCCGTCGCAATGTCGACCTCCGTTTGAATTGGACGGGGGATCGATCAGAGGGGTAAATATCACCTATATACGTGAACAGCACTATTTAGGTCGGTCATCACGGTATCATGTACTACCCGTAGTACTACTTTATTCAGGATTAAGATTGGCGGCTGAATTAGCTGAGCTAACTTAGGTCTCCAGGCAGACGACTTTGCTCAGCCTACCTCTGGTATTTAAGGATATAATGAAGAATAGAATAGAATAAAACCATTATAGTTTGAAAAAGTTTCTTTCCTTGCCAAGATTTTGACGGCATGTAAACAAACCCCATGAACTATCACCGATAGACGAATATTTTACTTAAAAAATTACAGATTTGTAAACAGTTTTTCAACGGACTTGTTTTCAAAGAACTACCATTTTTCCTAAAAACTGACTTTGTATTAGCTTTTATCCTCGATTACATATCATTGCAAGATGAATAAATGGAATGACAATTAAAAAAAGATCTCTCTTCATGGAAAATGCACAAGCTTTGAGAACCATTGTTCATTTTTTCATTCAGCCTACCTGACATTTACCTACAAATTCTAACATCTAATGTGACCTCTGTTATAGCATTAAAGTGCTATAATAGAATAATAAGAAGTACGAGGATACAAACCATGAAACTAACTTTTCAATTCCTAGGGCTGCCGATAGATGGCACTAAACCATTTTTTTTTCACATAACATTTTTTTAAATAATATCCATCGAATTATAAGTAATAAATATATACTATAATAATACAACGTGAAATAAAAAAAATCCGCGAAGATATTGTATCACATCTTTATAAATACAAGGCAGAAACTGAATTTACATATAAGTCTAAATGTCATCTAGATTATTTATTCCTAACTCATACTTTTTAATAATATCGATACCGGGTAAACACATGTAGCTCTATCTGATATACATGAGTATATCAGATGATATACTCGTATATGTGGGAGAAAAAGGATAACATATACGAATATGTTATCCTTTTTCTCCCAAACCCATAAATGAATGTAGTATCAACATAATACATAAAGTATAATATTTCTCACTAATTGGAGGTACGCGGCAACGTCAGGGGAATACAGAACTTTACTAAAATGCGAGATTCTAAGTTATAACAAGGAGTTGACAAACTAAGAATAGTTAAGAGGCACTGTTTATGTCAAAGAGATAATAGGCTCGCTGTTTCAAATATAATATATATATTAAAGAATTGTTCTCCAGTTTGTATACCAAGTATACTTATTGTGTGAATCTCAACGAGTTGCGTGGATGCATTCGTTATAAATAATTATAAAACACCAAATTCTAAATAAAATCGTAATTATATATATTTATTAAAAAATTACGATATATAATTAGTGGTGTAACAAAATATTGAAGTACATTTTAAAACAAATGAAAACACAGCGTTCTATATTTAAATATTATGAAATAAATAATAAGAAGGTTTTAATACATACATGATTTTGTTGGAGTTTCCAACACTTCCAATACCACAGATAATATAATATTACATGTTATACCTATTTGTAGATAGGACTGGTCTTACGATTTACATTACTCGGTTTCCATATGCTTGATGCTGCAATTGAACATTTTTGGCTATCAGCTTATTTGTTAATAATGATTATGTATTTTCTATGTCTAATGTGTGTAAGTGTTTATTAAAACCAGTAGTTTCAAATTCAAAGTTCGTAGTTTAATATAGTAGTAGTAGTAATACAGTAGTTTAATATTCATAATACTAGTTGTTGTTAGTTTAAGACTATTACCATACAATACTATTTTAATTTGTTATGATAATAATAATGTCCATATAGCGCCGTCTAGTGCCAAGATAAGCAGAGCTGTGTTATGGGTACTAGACGTACAATGATAAAAGTATTCATATACTTGTGAATGTACAAGTGTATGTACCATGCGAGGAATCGAACCCGCAACCATCGGAAGCAAAGCGGTGTGACAAACCGCTACACCACCGTGGCCGTTATACGTAAATATTATACAACAAGTCTTGTCATTTTTTCTCAAGTGCATAGTAGGGATAGTATTATGAAAATAGTGACTTGCATGGTTGAAATGTGAAATTTATATTATATAATCTGTATATTTTCCTAAGATAAATAAATAAATATGCATCGTACATTCTGTTTTCTGGCTTTTACGCTGGGATAATTTTCAACCGGCTCAACATACATCCATATGTATGTATGTACATTAGTGTTCCAGTTCTCGGAATAAGCTCCTTTTCTCGTCGTATTCAGACTTGTGGGCTTCTTTACAGCCTCTGTTTACTCTCTTACTTTTATCTGATGCTCTGCAAAAGGTAGAAACAATAAATGGTATATTTTAGGTGAAAACTGGAAAGGAATTTGAGAGCGTCATTGATAAGTTTAGTCGTGGACTAGAACCGAAAGATAGGTTTGAATTTGATCATGGCAAAAAAATTTTTAGTCAATTTATATTAAAATTTCTGCCTATCTAGTAGTGAAAATATCGATATCAAACTAAACTAATCCGGGAGACGGTGGTAGGCTTGCTCCCTATAATGTTGAATTAAAATCCTTGAATAATGATAAGATATTAAAAAAAAACTATTATTGGCTTTCTATAGAAATGTTATGTATTGATTTGTAAGCTGTTGGTTTTTTTATATTATAATAAATACATATATGTATTATCATCATTACATAGTATGAAATAAAGTCGCTGTCGCTGTTTGTCCCTAAGCATATAGGTAATCTTTAAAACTACGCAACAGTTTTAAAGCTGTTTTATTTTAATAAATAGAGTGATTCCAGAGGAAGGTTTATATATATATATATATATATATATATATATATATATAATACATGTACATCTGGGCGAAGCCGGGGCGAGTAGCTAGTAATTTATAAATAAATAATTTGCAATATGTTTGCTTAATAATAAGATAAATGCGACATATGCCAACAAATCACTTTATTTTCTTTAGAACTGCGATTATTGGTCAGCGACAAATCATAGTACATACAGGACAGCATACAGGACAAATAAAAGTTGATTGACTGATAATAAAAGTTGATACCTAGATAAACCCATACCTTTTAAAATGTGAGCATGTCCAGTATTGCGTAAGTAAGACGTCAACAGTTGACAATTCTTCTGATAAGTCATCTGATGTAAAAGCTATAAACAAAAGAAGTCTTCTAATTGCCATTCTACTTCATCAATGAAATTATTAAAACGAAAACTCTTTCAATCTAGTAAAAAGACACATTAATATGATGTCTTATCTATTTGCATTGCCAATCAACTTGTTTTGTAACTTGTATTTCAGTTGTAGTATATGATTAGGAAGTGAAATTTCAGAAAGGACATGACCTCTTAGACCTCTAGAATGGTAACGCATGAGTAGTATCACATTTACCACATGATAAGGTGATACCCATATTCATGGTGTCACGTCTACTTTATTCTATTTGGGATACAAACAGTTTCACAATGTAGTATGTATTTAAGTACATAGATATGAATTAATAATAGTAAAACCAATACAGATATCCACGTGTTAAACGTCTATGCCCATAGACATCGTGACTATGGATATTGCGGCATATATAGACAATGTGTAGCTCATATGTAGATCATATATACATATATATATAGATCATGTATCATGTATGTATATCATATCATATATATAGGCTTACCATCACGTGAGCACTTAGTTTTTTTGTCATTCCAATTACGTATTACATTATTATTTAAGTAATTTCAGTAAGTAATCATATTACGGAATACTTTGGTTACTTCACTAAAATTACGAAAAAAATATTGATGTTTAAAAAAATATAGATAATTAGATCCATCAGTCGGAGCAATATAAAGAACCCTAGAGCTCTCTAGCCAATATGAACTTAACCAATTTAAAATTAGCACAAATTAGTTTTGTAATATCATCTTATTCAATTAATTAAGTCGCATAATGGATGCCCCAGACAAGGTGAAGTGACTACACAGAGCTCAAAGTAATTTATCATTTCGGTCTAATCATGCTTTTCTTCTTCTAAAATGTCTAACTTAGTCGCTACTTTTGACGCATGTCGTTTCAACAATGGTTTTTATCTATTTTTTTTTATTTCATTCTAGACGGAGTAGTTACGATGTCTGAACTGTCCTGTATCCTGACATCATTCTCATATTGGGTTATCTGTTGACAGCCTCGGTGGTCTAGCGGGTCAGAATACTAACTTACTTCCGATAGTCGCGAGTTCGATTCCTCGCATGTTACAAACATTTGTATTCTAGAGTATGATTATTTATATTGGTCTTCGTGTATTCTACGTATATTATGTATGTATTTGTTTACGAAAAAAAATTATCAGTTATTTAATACTAATCATACAAGCTTTGTTTAGCTTGGAACTAGATGGCGCTATATGAATGATTAAGGTTCTATTGTCAAAGACTTACTTCATGTAATAATATATAGATTTTACAGCACAGAAACAAACCTCTTCGATGATTTTACAATTAATAATATAAACATTATTTGATATCGACGTTTTGCTATCAGTTACGTAATATAATGATAGTAAGGATTATGTATTTTTAATGTACAATTTAAAAAAATATTAGCATTTCTCACTCCTTCTCTATATAAAC